CACTCAAGATCAGGTGTTCAAGACCAGCCTGGCCAACATGGCTAAACCCCGTCTCTACCAAAATACAAAAATCAGCTGGATGTGGTGGCATGCTCCTGTAATCCTAGCTACTCAGGAGGCTGAGGCAGGAGAATTGCTTGAGCCCAAGAGGCAGAGGTTGTAGTGAGCTACGATGGCCCCACTACACTCTAGCCTGGGCGACAAGAGTGAAACTTCATCTAAAAAAAAAAAAAATATATATATATATATATATATATATATATATATAGAGAGAGAGAGAGAGAGAGAGAGAGAGTTTATATATATATATAGTTTATCTATATACAGTTTATCTATATATAATTTATATAATATATAATAGTTTTATGCATATATTTATGTATATAATTCCCACAGGCCTTGTTACTTCCTAAGTGACTAAAACAATACCCATACCTTTTGTTAAGGTATTCGGCCTCTTGTCCTTGGTTCCTTAAGCAACTTTGAAGTGCCTCCGAGTAATAAAGATGAAAGAGTCTTTTGTTATAATGTTAGGGTGCTTTATGCCTCAGAGGAAGACCTCAGAAAGCAGAATCTCTCTATAACCTTCTCCTGCCCTCCTTTCATTTGTCCTTTCCTTGCTTTACTTCAAGGGAGTAATCATTCCCCACCTTTCTGTCTTGTAGCTGACCATAAAGAAATTCGCTGATCTACCTTGGCTGATTGTGGGTCATAAGAGCCTTATTTCAGAAAGAGTCCTGCCCTATGCCCTGGGGGAAGGAATGCTGCACAGACAGGCCAAGAAGAATCTGAACAGACAGACCTGGTTGGGTTTCCTCACTCAGTCTGTTAGTATTAGATCATACCTTTTTGTTCAACCACATTTCTACCTGGTTGTCTGTGCTCCAATTATGCCTTTCTAATGAAGTCTCCTTAAAAGGCCCAAGGGGACAGAGTATGAGGAGCTTCCAGATAGCTGAACGTATGGAGGTTCCTGGAGAGTGGCGTGCTGGGGGAGGGCACGGAAACTCCACAGCCCTTCCTGTATCTCACTCTGTGCCTCTCTTCATCTGTGTCCTTTATAATCAGTTGGTAAATGAAAATAACCGTTTCCCTGAGTTCTGTGAACCACTTTAGCAAATTAATGAAACCCAAGGATGGAATTATGATAACCCTGATATATAGCAAGTTGGCCAGAAGCACAGGTCAAAAACAACCTGGGACTTGTGATTGGCATCAGAAGTGGAGGGGTGTCCTGTAAAACTGAGGCCTCAACCTGTGGGATCCGATGCTATCTCCAGGCAGATAGTGTCAGAACTGAACGACACCCAGCTGGTGTCTGCAGTAGAACTGATTGAGGTAGAACTCACACTTGGTGTGTGAGGAACAAACTCCACACATTGTTTTATGAGAACAGAGGAAACGCAGTTTGCGTTTTTACCTCACATTAACATTGTGCAAGTCTTTCGTTTTCTTGTTGATCTTCAGCCTAGTTGCTTTATCTGTTATTGAAAAGTGGGTTATTCTAATCTCCAACTGTGATTGTTGAATTGTCTGTTTCTCTATTCAGTTCTATCGATCAGTTTTTACTTCGTGCGTTTTCAGGCTTTGTTGTCAGGTTTTATCTTTGTTTGCGCTGCTATAAAAAAGTTGCACACATTGGATAATTTACAAACAATAGAAATTTATTTCTTACAGTCCCAGAAACTGGAGAATTCTAAGATAAAGGTGCTGAAAGGCTGCAGGTCTGGTGAGAGCTGCTTTCTGCTTCCATGACAGCGCCTTATTGCTGCATCCTCTGGAGGGAATGAATGCTGTGTCCTCCCATTACTCTCTTTATCTTGGATACTGTTTATAATGGTGCTAATCCCACTGGTGAGGGTGGAGGTGGCTTAATCTCCTCCCAAAGGTCACAGTTGTTAATACTGCTGCATTGGAGATTAAGTTTCAACATGAATTTTGAAGGGGACACCACCATTCAAACCGTAGCGGGTATACATATGTTTTGATTGGTGTATCTTTTTGATGGATTGATCTCTCTTTATTTTGAGGGACAGGGTCTTGGGTCTTGCTCTGTTGTCCAGGCTTGACTTCAGTGGCACAATCATGACTCACTGCAGCCTTGACCTCCTGGGTTTAAGTGATCCTTCCACCTCATTCTCCTGAGTAGCTAGGGCTACAGGCAAACACCACCATGCCCACCACCATTTTAAAATTTGTTTTGCAGGGATGGGGTCTTGCTGTGTTGCCTAGGCTGATCCCAAACTCCTAGGCTCAAGCAAACCTCCTGCCTTGGCTTCCCAAAATGCTGGTGCTGGGATTACAGACATGAACCACCACATCCAGTTGGAATGACTCTTTTAACATTATAAGATGTCTTGTGTTATCTCTAGTGCTAAATTTTGTTTTACAGGTCTGTTTTGTCTCATATTGATAGAGCCACTCCCACGCTCTTTTGGTTATCATTAACTCAGCATATTTTCTTTCATCCTTTTTCTTTCATCCTATTGTGTCTTTAAATCTGAATTTTGTTTCTTGTCAACAGCATATACTAGGATCATATTTGTGCTTTTTTAAATATATAGTTTAAGTTCTGGGGTACATGTGCAGATCTTGCAGGATTGTTATATAGGTACACACATGCCATGGTGGTTTTCTGCCTCCATACCCCCATCACCTACATTAGGTATTTCTCCTAATGTTATCCCTACCAAACCTCCCCACCCCATGCTATTGCTCCCCTAGCCTTCCACCCCACAACAGACCCCAGTGTGTGATGTCCCCCTCCCTGTGTCCATGTGTTCTCATTGCTCAACACCCACTTATGAGGGAGAACATACAGTGTTTGATTTTCTGCTCTTATGTCAGTTTGCTGAGAATCATGGTTTCTGGATTCATCCATGTCCCTGCAAAGGACATCAACTCATCCTTTTTTATGGCTGCATAGTATTCCATGGTGTATATATGCCACATTTTCTTTGTCTTGTCTATTATCAATGGGCATTTAAGTTGGTTCCAAGTCTTTGCTATTGTAAACAGTGCTGCAATGAACATACATGTGCATGTGTCTTTATAACAGAAGGATTTATAATCCTTTGGGTATATACCAAGTAATGTGATTGCTGGGTCAAATGATATTTCTATTTCTAGATCCTTGAGGAATCGCCACACTGTCTTCCACAATGGTTGAACTAATTTTCACCCTCACCAACAGTGTAAAAATGTTCCTATTTCTCCACATCCTCTCTAGCATCTGTTGTTTCCAGATTTTTTAATGATCACCCTTCTAACTGGCATGAGATGGTATCTCAATGTGGTTTTGATTTGCATTTCTCTAATGACCAGTGATGATGAGCATTTTTTCATGTTTGTTGGCTGCATAAATGTCTTCTTTTGAAAAGTGCCTGTTCATATCCTTCACCCACTTTTTGATGGGGTAGTCTGTTTTTCTCTTGTAAATTTGTTTTAGTTCTTTGTAGATTCTGGATACTAGCCCTTTTTCAGATGGGTAGCTTCAAAAAATTTTTCCCATTCTGTTGGTTGTGGCAATACCATTTAGGATGTAGGCATAGGCAACGACTTCATGACTAATACACCAAAAGCAATGGCAACAAAAGCCAAAATAGACAAACGTGATCTAATTAAACTTAAGAGCTTCTGCACAGCAAAAGAAACAATCATATTTGGGTTTTTAAAAAAATCTATTCTTCTAATTTTTACTTTTTGATTGAACTGTTTGGTTCTTTCATATTTAATGTAATTACTAGTAAGACAGAGTTTTTGACTGCCATTTTAAAATTTATTTTCTTTGTGTTTTGCATCTTTTTTTCTATTTCTCTATCACTAACTTCTTTTGTGTTAAATACATATTCTCTAGTATGCCATTTTAATTATTATTTTTCCCCTGTGTTTTTGAGTTATTTTGTCAGTAGTTGCCCTGAAGATTATAATAAAAATCTTAATTTAGAAGAATCTAATTTGGATTAATATCAACCTAATTTCAGTAGTTTATAAAAATTTTGCTCCATTATGTTACATTTCCTCCTTCCTTTTGTACTTTTGTTGTCATGTAAATGATATATTTGTGAATTATAAGCCTAACAAGATATCTTTATAATTATTGCTTTGTGCATTTATCTTTAAATCAGATAGGAGATAAAACCTTAGACCAAAACATGTTTATACTGTCTTTGCATTATCCATGTAGTGACCTTCTCTGGTGTTCTTCATTTGTTCATTTGGATATTAGTTACTGTCCCATCATTTCATCTTGAGAAACTCCCTCTCGTATTTCTCCTAGGTCAGATTTGCAAATGATGAATTTTCTCATTTTTTATCTCCTTCATTTTTGAAGGACAGATTTTCTGGATATAAAATTCTAAGTTAACATGTTTTTCCTTCAGAAATTTAATATGTCATCCCACTGCCTGCTGGCTTCCACAGTTTCTGCTGAGAAGTTAGTCAATTTATTGAGATCTTTTATACATGAGGATTGCTTTTCTTTTGCTGCTTTCATGAGTCTCTCCTTTTCTTTGACTTTCAACAGTTTGATAGTGATGTTTTTAAGTATGGATCTCTTTGAATTTATCCTAACTGATATTTGTTGTGCTTCCTGAATGTGTAAATGAATATTTTTTAATCAAACTTGAAAAGTTTTGTCCATTATTTCTCCAATTATTGTTTCTTCCCCTTCCTTTCTTTTCTTTTCTTTTTCTGGAACTTCCCTTCTGTGGATGTTGGTATGCTGGTTGATATCCCACAGGTTTTTGAGACTTTGTTCCTTTTTCTTCACATTTTATTTGATTTCTCAGACTGCATAATCTCAATAATCTGTCTTCAAGTCTTCTGAGTCTTTCTTCTGTATGTTGAAATTCTCCCTTGAGCTCCTTTGGTGAATCTTTCATTATAGGAATTGTACTTTCTGACTTCAGAATTTTCATTTTCAAAAGTAATTTCTGTTTTTTTAATATCTTACATTATATTTTATTATTATTTCTTTTATTTTACTTTATTTTTTAATCAGTCCTACAGAAACAGGGCTTCAAAAAATTGGACTAAGACTCAGAATTGTTCCTCTCCATGGAAATGTTTAGTAAAAAGCAAAAGATTTATAAAATTTACAGAGAAATTGGAGTATATCTCTTATATTTTATGACATTATTTTCATACTTTCCTTTAATTTTTTTTTTACATAATTTTATCTATATTGTTGACTTGAAGTCTTTTTCTAATAAGTCCAACGGTGGCTTTCATTAAGGACAGTTTCTTTTGAGTGTTCTTTTTCCTGTACATAAGAGTTTTTTCCTGCTTTTTAATGTCTTTTAATTTTTTGTTAAAAACTGGACATTTTACATAATACAATGTGACAATTCTGGAAGTAAGATTCTCTTTGCTGAGTGTTTTTGTTGTTACTGTTTGCTTATGTATTTAATGGCTTTCCTGGACTACTTCTGTAATGACTCTATTCTTTGTCGTGTGTGTCCACTGAAGTCTCTTTTTAGTTAGCTTAGTGGTCAGCTAATGACTAGACAAAGTTTTCTTTATGTTTTGGACCAATAATTCTTCTATCTTTATCTGGGGCTGTGTGTGTGTGTGTGTGTGAAGGGCATGCCTTCAAAACTCCTGCAGGCAGCTTTTAACACTGTCTTACCCTTCACTTCCTTCTTGAGCAGATCCTCAAGGTCAGCTAGAGCTCAAAGTTTAGGGCATTCTCAGTTTTTTTGTGGGCACACATGTAGTACTAGGTATGCAAACAACCCTACACATGCTTTTAGTCTTCTGGATTCCAAGGCATATCTAAGAACATTTGAAAGTCCCTGATGGACTTAGTATTTCCAGATTTCACTTTTAAGCTTTTGGACAGCCTTTTCTTAGCCCCAACAGGTAATGCTTCCTCTAGAAAATGTAATGTTAAACAATTGCTGTGGATTGTTTTGACAAATTTCATGTAGGTTGTGCTATTTGCATAGAGGGTGCCCTGAATCTGTTCAATTAAGAAAAGCCTTAAGGATGGAACTTTTCAGCAAGTTGTTAGCCAGGTCAAAAATAGAGTCAATTCTTTGGGGCTGGCCCTTTTCTGAGCTCTGCACACATTTGCCTCCTCTAGTGGTGGCTAGGCCAATGGTTTTCAGAGCTACTCTCTTGGGGTTTTAAGATTCTGAAGAGCTAAGGAGAGGGATATGTCATTAGAACAACTTGAAATGCACAAAGCTCACTCCTCTTACTTAGGTTCAGCTGTTTTTCTTGAGTTTGTACACATAAAATTTTTGAAGAGTTTAATTTTCAAAGTTCTGAAGAAGTTGATTTTGACATTTTAAGAGTGTTATCATTGTTTCTCTGGAGTAGATTTTTAGAGGTCTTTATTCCACCATTCTGGAAGCTGTACTCACGGTAAGGGAGAGCATCATCTCTGCCAAGCATCTCTGCCAAGCAGTGTCTTTTGGTTGATGACTATTACTAGACTAAAATAAGGACTGCTGTCTATCAAAGACACCACAAAAAGAATAAAAATAGAAACCAAAGAGTGGAAAATATCTGCAGGACATATGACTGACAAAAATGGTCACAAATCAGTTAGATTAAAGAGTAAGTCAGACACAGCTGAATAAAAAATTAATAAACTGAAGGAATTATTTGAAATTCCACCCAAAAGACAGAGATGCAAAATATAAAAGACGCCGAGTAACAAGGAAGTGAGAGTAAGAAGGTCGAGCATGTATCTAATTGGATATAGAGAAAGGAGTAATAGAGAAATAGAGAAGAAAAGGTTTTCAAAGACATATATATGGCTAGGAGCTTTCCAGAAATGTTTCTAGATATCAATTCTCAGTCACAGGGAGCCAAATGAACCTCAAATAGGAACAAAATCTACAACTAGGTGTAACATAGAAAACTATAGGACACAAAAGACAAAAAGAACATCTTAAAAGCCAGATTATCCACAAATAAATGGTAATGAGGGTTAAATCTCACTTTTCAGCAATCATGGTAATTAGAGTTAGCGAATTATTTGCAGTGTGCTAAGAAATCATAAAGAAGTTGCCACAATTCTCTACCCAGTGAGATCATCTTTAAAAGCAAGGATGAAGTAAAAACATGTTTTACTTAAACACGGGACACTCACTAAGGAAGTTAAAAAAAAAAAAAAGGCCTGGCATGGTGGCTCACGCCTGTAATCCCAGCAGTTTGGGAGGGTGAGGCGGGCAGATCACTTGAGGTCAGGAGTTTGAGACCAGCCTGGTCAATATGATGAAACCTTGTCTTTACTAAAAATACAAAAATTAGCCAGGCATAGGGGTGCATGTCTGTAATTCCAGCTACTCAGGAGGCTAAGGCAGGAGAATTGCTTGAATCTGGGAAACGGAAGTTGCAGTGAGCCGAGATTGCACCACTATACTCTAGCCTGGGTGACAGAGCAACACTCCGTCTCAAAAAAAAATTATATATCTATACACTTCAGATATAATGTCTGAGAGACAAGAGGAAATTGTGAACAAATATATTGGTAAATATAAATAAATATACATGGTATAAAATAATGAAAGTCATGTCTAATTTATGGGTGGAGGTAATAGACTAGAATCCATTTCCTGAACAAAAGCTAGTCAGGTGATCAGAAGTGAAATGTTCAGTGGTTAAGAGAATGAATGCTAGAACTAGACTGCCTTTATCTTGACTCTGGTCCTTATTATCTGTGTGACTTTGGGCAAGATGTTAATTACCATCTCTCTATGTCTTTACTTCTCTTGATATGGGAACGGTTATAACATTTACCTCATAAGTTACTGTGATGGTTAAATTGGTTTATATGTGTCAAGGGCTTGGATCAGTGCTTGAACATAAAAACTGCTTTAAAATTCTAGCTATGATTCTTCTAAAAGCATTCTAAAGTCCTTATATTGCAGGGTAAAATACTCAAATACGTAATCATGTTAAGAGACTTTAACAAAGCACTTTTGACAGTGATGACTGGCAAAATGAAAACATTATTAACAAGCTTGGTTTAAGTGACTTATATAAATCTTTGTATCAAATTAACTTAAACTACATAGGCTTTTCAAAAATCTGTTTATTAGTCCACAAGATAATTCCCAGATATCAAAATCAAACACTGCTGTTGTCTTCCCAATGTCTACACCACCTTTCTTTTCTTTTCTTTTCTTTTTTTTTGAGACAGAGTCTTGCTCCGTAACCCAGGCTGGAGTGCAGTGGTGCAATCTCAGCTCACTACAACCTCCACCACCCGGGTTCAGGTGATTCTTCTGCCTCAGTCTCCCTAGTAGCTGGGATTACAGGTGCACAAGACCATGCCTGGCCAATTTTTTGTATTTTTAGTATACAGGGTTTCACCATGTTGTCCAGGTTGGTCTCAAGCTCCTGACCTCAGGTAATCCACCTGCCTCAGCCTTTCCAAGTGCTGGGATTACAGGCATGAGCCACTGTGCTTGGCCTATGCCACCTTTCTTATGCATAGAACACTGGTTTCCTATAGAGTGGGAGTGTGTCCAGCTAAAACACATTTGCCCAGATGTCCTTACACTTGTGGCCGTATGACTAGTTTTGGTCCCAGAGATGCAAGTGGAAGTCATTGGGTTAGATTTTTGGGAAAGCTTAAAACTCTATGTGCGAATGTGCCTTGAACTGGTGAGTTTCTCATCCTCTGGCTCTGCGTGTATGTTGATACAAGACTTCAAAGCTCCAGAAGCAGTCCACAACTCTGCTTTACCTTTCATTTCTTGATGGCACAGAAGCTCAAGGTCAGCTGGGGGTGAAAGCTAACGGTCCCCTCAGGTCTTTCCGCATGTGAACAGCCCTGGGTGTGCATGTGGCCTTCCAAATTCTCCGTAATATGTAGGAGCTTTTCAATGCCCCCTATGGACTTCCTTCTAAATAATCTACTTATTGGGTGAGACTTCATTAAAAATCTCTATGACTTTAGGCCGGGCACGGTGGCTCAAGCCTGTAATCCCAGCACTTTGGGAGGCCGAGGCGGGTGGATCACGAGGTCGAGAGATCGAGACCATCCTGGTTAACATGGTGAAACCCCGTCTTTACTAAAAATACAAAAAATTAGCTGGGCATGGTGGTACGTGCCTGTAATCCCAGCTACTCGGGAGGCTGAGGCAGGAGAATTGCCTGAACCCAGGAGGCGGAGGTTGCGGTGAGCCGAGATCGCGCCATTGCACTCCAGCCTGGGTAACAAGAGCGAAACTCCATCTCAAAAAAAAAAAAAAATTTTCTATGACTTTAAAAATGGACTTTGACAAGCTGAAATTGGCCAAGAAGAACAAAAAGCAGAATTTTCTATGCAAATTATCAAAATACACTGTAAAACTATAGTAACTATAACAGGGTGGCGTGATTGCAGAAATATATTACGTGAGGAAAAAAGTTGAGAATTAGATACACACATACATTTGGTACATGATATAGGTGACATTTTAAATTCATGTGGGAAGGATGAATTATTCCAAAAAGAGATTGGAATGACTGACACTCCATTTAGGAGAAAAATAGGTCCTTACCTCATTCTTACACAAGAATAAATTTCAAATGAATTAAAACCTATATATAAAAAAAAAACAAAGAAAACTTCAAAGTAAATCTTTACACATTTAACTATATTAAACTTAAAAACTTCCTCAGAGTGAAGATCACCACAAATGAAATTGAAGGCAAACAGTAGGCTGAGAGACAATTCTTATAACATATGCAGCAGAATAAGAAAATTCCAACTAAATAACGGTATTCTATTTTTAACCTATTGGAGAGGTTAAAATAAAAGGCAAATAAAATCTTTTAAGAGGTTGATACCACACATTTTTTTTGAGATGAAGTCTCACTTTGTTGTCAAGACTGGAGTGCAGTGGTGTGATCTCAGCTCACTGCAACCTCTGCCTCCTGGGTTCAAGCGATTCTCCTGCCTCAGTCTCTCAAGTAGCTGAGATCACAGATGTGCACCACGACGCCAGGCTAATTTCTGTATTTTTAGTAGAAATGGGGTTCATCATGTTGGCCAGGCTAGTCTAGAATTCCTAACCTCCAGCGATCCATCCGCTTTGGCTTCCCAAAGTGCTCGGATTATAGGCACGAGCCACCGCGCTTGGCCTGATACTACACAGAATTAATGTAGCTGTG